CCATTGCTCGTGGAGGTTCTCCTTTTTGCGTGGCGTGCTGCTGGGGCTATGGAGAACACCCTGCCTCCTGTCACGGGGAGAGAGAGACCAAGAGATGGAAAACAACACTGCACGGTGATCAGTGAGTGGACGAGGGGAGGATGGGGGCTCTGGGAGACCTCATGGGGCAGAGGAGACAGAGAAAGCTTCCCTGAGAGGTGAAACTCAAGTTGAAGGTTAAAATATGAGGACTGTCAAGTGAAGGAGGAGCAGGCTCACTCTCTATGCAGGGACAGTCACAAGAGAGGGTAGTGCTGAGCAGACATGCAGAGTAGGACACATGGTGATGGAGAAGGCAGGGAAAAGCAGGAAGTAAGGTTCAAGGCTGCAGAGGGACTAGGGGACTGAAGGCCTTAAAAGCCAGACTACAGAGCTGGGGTTTTGTCCTGCGGGCAGAGGGGAGTCAAGGAAAGGTAAGGGGGTGGTGGGAGGGAGCAAGGTGCCCTTGCTCTTTCCTATCCTGTCACATGTCACCAACAACCCATCTCTGTGCTCTATCTAGCAGCTTTGTTTGTCCCTGAAACCTGCCAAGGATAGTCCCAAACTCAGGGCCTTTGCACTGGCTTTTCTCTTTGCCTGGAGAGGTAGTGTGAAGATTTGCTCGAGATTGGGCTCCACATTGGAGTCAGAGGCTCTGGCTTGAATTCCTGTTTATTTGTTCTGAATGGGCCTCATGATGGAACCTGCTGGATGACATAGGGTCATGACTGAGCATCCTGGTGGATAGACAGACAGATCTCTTGGGAACACTGTTGCCAAAATCTCAGCTCTCTGTGCACCAATATCAAAAAGAAATATGGAGACAGAGGTATGGAGGAGAAAGAAAGAACAGCTTTATAGCTGATCCAGGCACAGTAGGCTAGTGCCTCAAGAAATGTGCCCCACCCCCTCCCTGGTGAGTAGGGCAAGGGTACCTAGTCAGGCAGGAGTATGTGATAAGGATCAAGGCAGCTACAGTCTTGTATTTTCTCTCCTGCAGTTTCAATAGAATGGGGACAAGATTACGGTGTGTGCAGGGTCCTAGAAGGTCTGTCTCTCATCTTAATCAGCTTCAGCCTCACCTGCTGCTTCTCCTTTGATTAACAACTGTTCTGCCCTTTGGGCTTTCCTCATAGCTCAGTTGGTGAAGAACCGCCTGCAATGCAGGAGACCCTGTTTCAATTCCTGGGTCGGGAAGATCCCCTAGAGAAAGGACAGGCTATCCACGCCAGTATTCTTGGGCTTCCCTGGTGGCTCCGCTGGTAAAGAGTCCTCCTGCAATGTGGAGACCTGGTTTGGATGCCTGGGTTGTGAAGATTCCCTGGAGAAGGGAAAGGCTACCCACTCCAGTATTCTGGCCTAGAGAATTCCATGGACTATATAGTCCATGGGGTCGAAAAGAGTCGGACATGACTGAGTAACTTTCATTGCTTACTTACTCACTCTGCCCTTTGGATCTCAGAGAAGGTCATGGAGGCCGGAGGCCTGCCTACAAGGAATGGTGGAGAAAAAAGCCTCTGCACCTGGAGTCCCACAGGGCCCTGCTTGCCATTAGCATTAGTGTGGCTGCTGGGGATTGGGCTCCAAGCCTGAGATAGTGGGACACTGAGGTTTTTGCCATTGGCTGGAGGCGTTCCATTGGAGGTAAGGAGCTCAAACCAGTTAAACCTAATGGAAATCAGTCCTGAATATTCATTGGAAGGACTGATGCTGAAGCTGAAACTCCAATACTTTGGCCAGTTGATGGTAGGAACTGACTCATTGGAAATGACCCTGATGCTGGAATAGATTGAAGACAGGAGGAAACGGGGACGATAGGGGATGAGATGGTTGGATGGCATCACCAGCTCAATGGACATGAGTTTGAGCAAGCTCTGGGAGCTGGTGATGGACAGGGAAGCCTGGGGTGCTGTAGTCCATGGGGTCACAAACAGTTGGACATGACTGAGTGACTGAACTGAACTGGAGGCATTATGTACCATTACAGCAACTCTTGAGGGGCTCACGAGGGGGTCTCAAAGCAGAGGTCAAGGCACCTGGTGGGTGAAGTCAGTGAGACCCTAAGATGCCAAGATAATTGTTCTGGTCTTCAGATGAGGAGGAAAACTGAGGCTTAGAGAGGTTTAAGGAACTTGCCTAAGCTAGTGATGGACAAAGGTAGGTATTTTACCGAAGTCTGAAAGAAAAATGAGTGCTAGTCTCTCAGTCCTGTCTGACTCTTTGCAACCCATGGACTGTAGCCTCCCAGGCTCCTCTGTCCATGGCGTTCTCCAGTCAAGAATATGGGAATCGTTATCATCCCTCCTCCATGGGATTTTCCCCACCCAGGGACTGCTGACTCTTAAATTGCTAGGATTTCCCAGGCATTAGCTTCTGCTGAGACTGAAACAGAGATGCAAACACGTGGCGTACGAGGCGCGGCAGGAAAAGGCGGGAGAGCTTTTGACATCTGCCAAGAGAAATGCCTTGGAAAAACGGAACTGGGCCTGGGATGGGGGGAAATGCTTCAGTTGTGAAGGGCCCCTGAAGGGTCCAGAGAGAAAGTGAAGTCCCCAAGAGGAGCAGGAGATGGTGGGGTTGGGTCAGGATGAGCCTGCCCTCTGGGGTGAGGCTCGGCCCAGGTACGCTGCCCACATGTGAATAGCACGAGATCGCGTGTCTGGCCCCCTCCTCCCCTCCTGCCCTCCTCTTCTTCTTCCTCCCCCTCCTCCACTACCTGGCCCTGCCCACGCCTCAGTGCACCCACTCAATGGGCCTAGTCTAATCCTCTGACATCACCGCCTGCCCAGCACAGGCCCTCCCTGGCAGCCTTGACAGCCCCCACGCTCAGAGACCCAATTTAGGATCTCCCACCTCAGAACTATCTCTTCCCTCAGCCTCGTCCCTCCTTCAGCTCACAGTTCAAATTGGGCACACCCTAGAGTCAGTCCCAAACGGGGGGCAGGAGCCTACGATCTGTCCTGGCCTTGCTGTGTGACTCCGGGTAAGTAGCTGGCCCTCTCTGGGCCTCAGTCTCCTTATCTAAATCTCCTCTACCCTCAGTTAATCACATCAACCTGTTTTGGCTTCCTCTCAGCACCTTGTAGCTTTAGGAAATTTTTTTTTTTTATGAGCTCACATGTTGGTTGTTGGGAGACCACTGGACTTTGTGTCCCTTATTATTCACCCCAGTGCCAACACGCAGGAGGGCCTCCATCAACAGCTGCTGACTAAAGGTCTACATGGGCGATTGACAGAACAGATATATTTCCTGCCTTATGGTGGGGCTCTGGATATGACTGTGTGTTCATAAGCACGGACGCACATGCACTCCTGTGTTTGGTGCTCCCTGGCAGGGTGTGTGGTATAACACAGTTGTGGGCATGTACACTAGGGTGTCAGCTTCACAGGGGCAGGGATTTGTGTCTGGCTCGTTCCCTGCTCTATCCCAGCTCTATCTGGAACCGCGACAATACATGGCTAGAATCAATACATCCTTGACTTTAAAAACGTATGAAAGTGTATACACACATCTGGTGTGGGTCCACATGCCAACCTGTGTATATACTAAAGTATAGTGTTAGTTACTCGTTCATGTCTGACTCTGAGACCCCATGGACTGTAACCCATCAGGCTCATCTACGCATGGAATTTCCAGGCAAGAATACTGGAGTGGGTAGCCATTCTCTTCTCCAGGGGATCTTCCCCACCCGGGGATCGAACCTGAGCTCCTACATTACAGGCAGACTCTTTACCGTCTTAGCCACCGAGGAGCCCAAACATATACACAGTGATGCCAAAAGCTCAGCTTCTCTGTACACTGGTGCTGGATCAAAACTCAGAGACAAAGATTGGGGTTAATTAGAAAAGTAGATCTTTACTGCTTTGTCAGGCAAAGGGGGATACAGCAGCCTCTTGTTCTCAAAACCACTTCCTCTCTGGGAAAGATATGGAGAAGTTTTCTAGTAAAAGAAGATGTGTTTGGCCCATGAACATTTTCTTGATGCGTTGGTGGTGTCAGGTAGAAATTAACATATTCAACCTTCAGGTCCAACTGGCCTGGGGTCAACATGTTTGAGGGTAGCAAACCACAACTTCTTCCACCCGGAGGGTGTTTCAGTACCTGCAAAATCTTTCAAAGATATTGTTGTATGTATTTCATGATCTGAGAATCAGCACCTTGCCCCAAGGCTGCTCTTGATTAAAATCAATTTTTCTTAGTTTTGCTTTCCCTCCCATCTGTAATTAACAGCTAATTAACAGCTGCCCATATCAGTTCAGGGCAGATCTTAGAGGCTGAATGAAGGCTGCTACCTGCAATATCAAAGAAATGGATGGTGGGTGGGAGCTTCCCTGGTGGCTCAGTGGTAAAGAATCCACCTGCCGATGTGGGAGACATGGGTGCACTACTTCATCCGGGCAGATCCCACAGGCCTCAGAGCAACTGAGTCTGTGGGCACAACTGCTGAGCCCTCACTCTAGAGCCCGGGCTCTAGAGGAACAAGAGAAGCCACCGCAATAAGAAGCCTGTGCCCTGCGAGGAAGAGTAGCCCCCACTTGCTGCAACTAGAGAAAAAGCGCACACAGCCACAAAGATCCAGCACAGAAATCAATACATAAAATTATATTAAAAACACATCTGAAAAACTATTAAAAGGAACACAGAACTGAAGGACACAAAGGCCTGAGACAAGGAATCCACAGGGCCCTGCACCGTGTCACACGCTCCTGTGTCTAAGGGTGTGGGTGATGTTGCTTACACACCACCCCCTGTCCCATTTCCAAACTCCTCCAGTCCAGGGCCCAAAGGCTGGGTCCCAGTGGGGCGGAGCAGGGGGCCGCCTCCTCACGGGAAACTGGATCCCAGGACGTGCAGAGCCGCAGGGAGCAGGGCGGCCCCTTTGTCCCCCGAGATAATCCCCTCCCTGCCTGGCTCCCTTTCTCCCAGCAACCGGAGTGTAAGGTCAGATTTGGGGGGTTGAGGGGACTAGGGTGTCACCGCAATGCCCCCTTCCCTACCTGTCCCCTGCCTCAGGGGCTTCTGCACCTCCCCCCACAACCCCCAAGGTATGACTTTCCCTCCCTCATGGGTGGCCCGAGGGCTCAGACCCAGGTATATAGCCACCTGAGGGGCCAGAGGACAGGTGTCCCAGAACCACTGAGAGACTGCAGAGAGGAAGGATCCAGGAGAGACCATGACTTATCATCTGATGGGTGAGTGAGGGAGACAGGGCGCGAGGGTCCTGAGACCAGGAGGGGGCGGTACCGCCTGGGCCCTCTGGCCCATCTGACTCAGGGACCTGGCTGCTCTTGCATCTGCTGGGAACTTCCAAAGCCTTACACAGAGGACTTCATTCATCATTCATTCATTCAAGACATATTTCTGAAGTGTCTATTAGGTGCTAGGTAGTAGTCTAAGTGGGCTTCCGAGGTGCTGCTAGTGATAAAGAACCTGCCTGCAATGCAGAAAACTGAGGAGACCTGGGTTTGATCTGTGAATTGGAAAGATCCCCTGGAGGAGGCATGGCAACCCACTCCGGTATTCTTGCCTGGAGAGTCTCATGAACAGAGGCTCCTGGTGGGCTACAGTCCACGGGGTAGCAAAGAGTTGGACACACCTGCGGTGACTAGGCACACACGCACAGTAGTCTAACTATTGGGGCTATTGTTGCTGTTTAGCTGCGAAGTCGTGTCCAACTCTTTTGTGACCCCATGGGCTGTAGACCTCCAGGGCCCTCTGTCCGTGGTATTTCCCAGACAAGATTACTGGAGTGGATTGCCATTGCCTTCTCCAGGTGAACTGCCCCATTCAGGGATCAAACCCACGTTTCCCGCATTGGCAGGCGGTATCTTTACCACTGAGCTTTCAGTGAAACCCAAGCATTGAGGACAGGCAGTAAAGAAACAGACAAAAAATGAGATTTCGTTCTGCAGACAGACAGTACATGTGATCATAAGTAAATTATCATACCAGTGTGACTTCCCAGTTAGCGCTAGTGGTTAAGAATCTGCCTGCCAATGTAGAAGACGTGATACATGGGTTCGATCCTTGGGTCAGGAAGAACCACTGGAGAAGGAAATGGCAACCTACTCCAATATTCTCGCCTGGAAAATTCCATGGACAGAGGAGCCTGGCGGGCTACAGTCCACAGGGTCACAAACAGTTGGAGACGACTGACCACCCACACAGATGTGACAGAATTTGAATAAAGTGATCCAAGTTTGTTGAATGAATGAATGAATAGGGCTTCACCTCAAGGCTTCCCTTAAGTTCTGAACTTCTGGGTGTTCAGGAATATAGAAAGGGAAGCTAAGGAAGCTATCCTGGTCCTCCTCTCATCTCCATCAGTGCTGGTAACTTTAAATTTTCTTGTTTTGTTTTGTTTTGTTTTTAATTTGGCTACACCAGGTCTTAGTTGGGGCAGGTGGGATCTAGTTCCATGACGAGGGATTTAGTCTGAGCGCTCTGCACTGGCAGTGCAGAGTCTTAGGCCTTGGACCCCAGGGACGTCCTGCAGAGGGCCTGTTGAGTTGAGCCCTGAAGAATCAGAAGGATAAGCCCTGGGTGGGTTTGCAAGGTGGTCCTGGCAGGGCCCTGCAAGGGCAAAGTCTGAATAGGGGATGCTGCGGAAAAGAGGGTCCAGGCCTTAAGCCCACAGTGAGGACGTTACTAGTCACTGTGTTAGGTGGGAGCCATGGGAAGGTTTGGACAAAGGAGGGATCTAGCTGGACTTGAAGAGCTTCCAGATGGCAGAGAGAGACAGGGGTGGAGGCAGAGACAGCAGCTGGGAGAGAAATAGCTTCTAGAAACATCTTTTATTTATTTACGGCTGTGCTAGCTGGGAGAGAAATAGCTTCTAGAAACATCTTTTATTTATTTACGGCTGTGCTGGGTCTTTGCTACTGTGCTCAAGCTTTCCTAGTTGCAGTGAGTGGGGGAGACCCTCGAGCTGGGATGCATAGACTTCTCATTGCAGTGGTTTCTCTTGTGCAGGCTCCAGGCACACAGGCTTCAGTAATTGTGGCTCCCGGCCCTAGGGCACAGACTCAGTAGATGTGCCAGGACTTAACGGTTGCTATATGGGGTGTGGGATCGTCACAGACCAGGGATCAAACATGTGTCTACTGCGTTGGCAGGTGGATTCTTTACCTCTGACCCAGCAGGGAAATCCACGTGCTTGAAAACTTTGTATTGAAACTAGCAGATAGGTATAGGGAAACATGCACAAATCCTAAGTATACAGCTCAATAAGCTTTCACAGAGTCTAGGTATACTTGTCACAAGTGCTCAGATCCAGAAACACAGACCTACGGAGTTCCCTGGTGGTCTGGTGGTTAGGATTCTGGGCGTTCAGTGCCCAGGTTCAGTCCCTGGGCAGGGAGCTGAGATTGTGCAACCATCACGGTGTGACCAAACACAAACACAAAACCCGCAGACCTCATGGCCACCTTTTAAGGACAGAGCCAACAGGATTTAGTGTGGGTTGAACATAGGAAGAAGGAGAGAATGAGGCATCCAAGAAGACCCTGTGACTTTGACCTGAGCACCTAGAAGAATGGACATGCACTTTTCTGAGATGGGGAAGACCAGGGAAGGAGGGGAACAGGGCAGGTAGAGCTGAGCAGTGGATATTGTGACTTGAGATGCTTATTAACATCCAAGGGAAAATGTCAAGTGGGAAGTTGAATACATGGTTCTGGAGGTCAGGGGCATTTTTTTCTTTAATATTTATTTATATAAAACTATTTAAATGAAAAAAATAAAAATGTATCTTATTTGACTGCTGGTTCTTATTCGTTGCAGTATGCAAATTCTCAGTTGTGGCATGTGGGATTAGTACCCTGACCAGGGATTGAACCCGGGGCCTCCTGCGTTGGGAGCTGAGGTCATTAGCCACTGGACCATCAGGGACATCCCAAGGGAATATTCTGGGCTGGAAATAATCTGCTTACAGGGTGATTCTGCCCTGAGTTGCACACACAAGACCATCGTAACCACAAGGGTTGTATCCATATGAGGGGCTATTATGATGAATGAGTGAATCAGCAGGTGAGGTCAGGGACTTGGTGCTGACCTCTGATTTCTTCCTGCCAGCCCCCTTCTGCCTGCTGACCCTGCTGCTGCCACCTCTCAGTTTGGGAGCCCCCATATCCACAGCTGAGTCTATCAATCAAGCCTATAACCTGGCGCTCGACATGCAGATACAGACTTCAGCCCTGCTGCAGATTTACGTGAGTGACAGGGTATGAGAAGGTGGTGAGGGGAGGAGGCTGTCCCCCTCCTGGCCCAGCCCTGGGGAAGGGAGGCAGAACAAGGCTGGAAGAAGCCTCCTCCATGGGTCCTGGGGTACAGAGGCTCTGCCAGCTAGAAACACGCCCACAGGAATGATGTCACTGATGGCTGGGTAACCTTGGGCAGGTCATTCCTTCTCTCCCTGTCTTAGCTTCCTCATCTGCCAAATGGGATGGTGATTGTACCTTGGCTGACCTCTCAAGACTGTTAGAAGATTCGAAGGAAGCACCTAGAGGAAAGTTTTTTCCAGGCTCATGAGTCTTTCCATAGTCACCTCCTGCCCTATGCTTTCCTGAGCCTATGCCATGCTGGGAGATTTAGCCTCATGACCTTACTGGCTCCTCAGATAGCCCTAAGAGGTAGAATTACGACCTATTTTACAGATAAGAGAACTGAGGTGGCTTTTTTAGATTAAAATATTTTTTAATTTTTATAATTTTATTTATTTTTGTCTGTGCTAGATCTTTGTTATGTAGTTTGGGCTCTTCTCTAGTTTTGGAGAAGGAAATGGCAACTTTTTCCAGTACTCTTGCCTGGAAAATCCCATGGACGGAGGAGCAATTATGCTATAGACCATGGGGTGGCAAAGAGTCAGACAGGACTGAGCGACTTCAGTTCACTCACTTCACACTCTATCACTGGAGAAGGAAACGGCAACCCACTCCAGTATTCTTGCCTGGAGAATCCCATGGACAGAGGAGCCTGGCGGGCCATGGGCTATGGGGTCGCAGAGAGTCGGACACGACTGAAGTGACTGAGCACTGAGCACCTCTCTGGTTTTGGCGAGCGGCAGCTACTCTCGAGTTGCGGGGTGCAGGCTTCTCACTGCGGCGGCTTCCCTCGTTGCTGAGCACAGGCTCCAGGGCTCGCAAGGCTTCAGTAGTTGTGGCGCGTGGGCTCAGCAGTTGCGACTCTCTGGCTCTAGAGCACAGGCTCAGAGGTTATGGCCCACGGGCTTAGCTGATCTAGGACATCTGGGAGCTTCCTAGATCAGGAACCCGTGTCTCCTGCATTGGCAGGAGGATTCTTACCCACCGAGCCACCAGGGAAGCCCTCTTTTTGATTTTTTGATGTGGACCATGTTTAAATGTCCTATTGACTTTGTCACAATACTGCTTCTGTTTTATCTGTTGGGTTTCTTGGCTGCGAGGCATGTGAGATCTTAGCTCTTCAACCAGGGATTGAACCTGCAACCCCTGCTTTGGAGGACAGAGTCTTAACCACTGGACCATGAATGAAAGGTCAGGAAACTGAGCTTTAGAGGGGGAATAATTTACCTGAGGTCACAAAACTGTCTGGAAGTTCAAAGCAGCACCCTGATGGCTGGGTCTGACCCACAGATGCTTTGTCTAGGCCATGTGATGCTTGTTCAAATTTTGCACATGAAAACCTGTCAGGAACAGGCACAGGGGTGCTGTTGGCCTCCAGTCACCGAGGCCCACTCCCACCCCATCTGCTGCTTCTCCAGGTGATGTGATCTACCTGGCCCTTGGAATTTGTGACTCTTCCACTGAACTATATTCTAGGTCCCAGTGAAGTTGCCTAACCTAGTTTCTTTTTTCTTTTTTAAAGTCGAGTTTCTTTCCTGTGGGCTGTGCTGGGTCCCTGTCGCTGTGCTCAGGCTTTCTGTAACTGTAGTGAGCGCGGGCTCCTCTTCTGTGCGCTGCTTGAGCTTCTCATTGCAGTGGCTTCTCTTGCACGAAGCGTGGGCTCTGACTGAGGGCTGAGGAGTTGTGGTCCCCAGGCTCAGGTGCCCCACGGCATGGGGAATCTTTCTGGGGCAGGGATCGAACCCATGTCCCCTGCTTTGGCAGGCAGATTCTCAACCACTGAACCACCAAGGAAGTCCCTTCCTCTAATTTCTAGTCTCATATCTGCCACCATCCTCTGGATAGCTTTGAGGACCCTGATTTTTCCCCATTTGTAAAATGGGGATGTAGGACTAGGTGATCTATCAATTACAGAACTGATCAGTGTGGACTACAATTCTGTGGGTCTAGGTTTGTGGAGGTGAGAAATTTAATGGAGGAGGCATTCATTAAATAATCATATAATTCAATTCAATATTAATCATTGCATATTAATGATTATTTAAAAGTGAACAAATATTAACCACTGAAGAATGTGAATAGAAAGGAAATACGGCTTCAACCACATTGTCACTAATATATTTAGCTTGCAAATACTGTAATAAGTAACATAATTTTAGTGTTCATGATATTAATATAAATATGTCATTAGTGAATGATATTAACAGCCTAATTGTAAGCCAAGTGCTAAGTGCTTTATGTCTATTACATCTTATCATCTTCCCCATTACAGTGCCATGTGGGAATTACTGAAGCTGTGATTCAAAGTTGCACAACTTGTATGTGGAGGAGGCTGAGTGGAAGCCTAACAGTACTGGGGCTCTGTGCTAGCACATTTCATCAACTCCCTGAGAGGCAGGGAATGCTGACTCCCCCTAGGAGGAGGCCAGTCTCATGGAAGGCAGATGTGAATTCAGGGGCACCCTAGGGCAGCGTTTGGGTCCCCTCAATCTCATCTGCCTCTGTCTCTCGTGCAGCTTGAACACCAAGGCACTCCCTTTAGTGATCCCAACTTCTCATCCCCCGGACTCTCACTCAGAACCCTGCCTTCGACCGACATGCCCTTCGAGATCTGGCATGGCCTGGAAGATGGAGAACATCTGAGCCTCACCCAGAAGGCCTTCTGGTCCTTCAGCCAGCACTTCCAGCTTGCGAAGGATGACCAGAGTGACCTGAACCCTGGCCATTCCATCGTGGTGGATCAGCTTGAGGAAGCAAGACTCAAGGCCAAAGGCCTAGCGGGCAACTTGGCTGGCATCATGACTGCCCTGGACCTGCCCACCCCCCCAGCAAACACCCCCCTCGGTAGTGTTCCCTTAGGAGACTCGGTCTTTGAGAGGAAGTGTCGAGGGTATGTAATAATCCGGGACTACAGCTTTTGGACAGACCGAGCTGTGACTTTCTTGGGTGAGCTCAAGGCCAAATACTCTGAATAGAGGAGGTGGGACTTCTGTTAGAGGCTGCAACCCTTTCCCCTTCAGCGGATTCTTTCCTTTCTTTTTTTTTCTCACAAGTGAATCTTTTCTGCTTTGCTCTTGGCTAGAAAGGAGACAAGTGTTGTCTAGCAGACAGGGCTTGTATACCATGTACTTGGGAACACTTCCTGGGGACCAGGCCTCTAGTCCTTATGCCTGGGCCTTCCTGCCTAAGTCCTGTGGACTCCCTTCCAGATCTGGGTGGGACTCCATGGACAGCATCTCATGAATTCCCATTCCAGCGGTACTGGTTGCTCACTTCCTGGGTGGAAAGAAATACCTCTTTGAAGACGCTTCACTTACAGTCCATGGGGTCACAAAAAGTCGGTAGTGACTGAGTGACTAACACTTTTCACTTTTACTTCCCACTCTATATGGGAATACAGTTGGTCCCCTTCCTGTCATTTAGGGGAGGTCCAGGGATTGCCTTCTTGTCTCTATCTACCTCACTTCCTCTGTGAAGATATGGACATTCTGAGCAACGAGGCTCCCTTTTCCCTGGGGTTCATTTCCTCCTCGAGACTACCTCTCTGACTGTGACCACTGTTCCGACTTCTCATCTTCAGGTGCTTCACTTCCTAGGCAATGGATGTCTGACTCTTGAAAAGCTAAGGACTCGAGTCACATCTGTTTCTTGCTCAGAACACATCCACTTTGGGATGATAGATCGCATCACTGGCCTGGGGCTCTCCTGAACCTCCTCTTTATAGTGTGGCTTTTGCGGATGATGGGGGGGACCAGGCCATATCCCAAGGATCTTATTCTCCTTAAATGCGTCTCCCCATTTTCAACGACTATATATACTGGTAAATTCAATGGTCATTTTAAACATTTTATTTAGAAAGAATCAATTTATTCTCGTAAATAAAACTCTTCAAAGGGGTGTGATTTTTTTTTTTTCTCTTCTCCAAAAACCTGACTTGAGGAGAAGGGAAGGTGTAGGATTAGGGCAGAGGGAGGGGAAGGGGTGGAGGGCATCAAAGGGAGAGGGTGGAGGGCCACAGGGATGGGATGGGGACAGGGAGAGCAGCAGGTGGAGTGACCCTGTGGGAAGGGGGTTGAAATGTGTCAGGAGGAGCCCTTCCACCACAGGGCCAGCAGGCATGTTCCTGGCCAGGAAACGACAGAGAGGACAGAGGCAAACAGAGTGACAGGTGTCCCTTCCTTGAGATGAGGTGGACATATACACAGGCTCACAGCGGGCCAAGAGGAAACAAGAGACAGGAAGACAAAGAGACACTCAGAGAGGCAGACCGGAACGATGGGGAAGCAAGGACATGACAGATACGGGAAGTCGTAGAGGGAGACAAGAAGGACCCAGAGAGAAAAAGAGATGGAGAAGCGTACAAAGAAAACAGAGAGACGGACACAGTCGGAGGACACAGAGACGTTGACAGAGATGGGGAGAGATGGAGACAGCCAGGGAGGGGACCGCGAGCTAGACCGCGAACTAGGCCGCACGCCCGGCTCTCAGGCCGGGCCCCCAGGAGACAGCGGCCCAGGTCGGCCTCAGTGCAGCTCGAGGTAGAGGCCGCACCCACGGAAGCCCAGCACCTTGGCCAGGAAGACGCCCTCGGAGGCAGTGGCGGCGGCGGCCGCGGGTTCAGGCCGGGGCCCGCGGCTCCGGGCCCCCTGCGCGGCCAGCACGGCCTCCACCGCGGCGCCCAGAGCCAAGACCTGGCACGCTGTGTCCTGCAAGCACCTCAGCAGGCTCAGCGCCCACAGCGGGCGCATTTTCAGCTTGGCCTGGAGGCGTCGCATAAGGTCCAGCGGTGGAGGGGCTATGGGGCAGAGACCAACCGGGAAAGGGTGACTGCAGCGAAAAAGGGAGGTGGGGTCACATGGGGAGCACAGGATGCAGCTGGTCCAACGGCTCCTGGGAAAGGACCACTCTCGGGAGCCCTGGGGAGCGCTAAGGTTGAGAAACGTGGGCACAACCCCATGGTTCTTGGATACCTACTGTGTGCTGCGCCTGGCAGCAGGTACATTCTTATCCATGCTGTTTGACCTTTACAACTCAGCAAAGGAAACATTTCACAGAGGAGGTAACTTGAGGGTCACACAGTGGGTAAGACAAGCTTCAAATCTGAGACCACTCTCACAGGTGAAAAGGAGGCCAAAGAAGGCAAAGACCCATTCCTGACTCTGGGGAGGGGATCCAAGGGGGGCCCTAGCTTTCTGTGGGTCTCTGCCTCTGAAAGTCGGGAAAAGCCAAAGTTTGGCTTACTACCCAGGGAGACAAGGAACACGGAGGTTCCCCTCCTGCGGAAGGTAAGAGGAACCCCTCTCCCTCTAGGCAAGGCCACCCTCTTCCTGAAGCAGCTCACTTGGCTCCTCCGGGAGCCCTGAGAACAAGCTTCCTGACCTCACTCCTACTCTAACATTTCTTCCATACTTCCGCGCCTGACCCAGGGAGGACGAAGGGACACCGAGAGGGACAAAGCCCTTTCCATGGTATTCCCACAGTGAAGCTCCTGGGAAAACCAGGGGCTCCTTGTCTGTGGAGTCACCTGAGACAGGTCCCAACTCTTCCCCTGTTCTCCAAATGTGCTCCATCCCAGGCTCTCTCCAAGCTGAAACACCCCAAATTTACCTCCCAGATCCCCACAGATTCCTGATCACCAAATCCAGACCTCTCTCTTCTCTCAGAAGCTACTAACACCCAACTCCTCTTCCCCTAAAGCCTAGATTTCCTCCTCAGAAACAATGGGAACCTGCTCACCCAAACTAACCCCTAAAGATCCACCGGGCTGCCCAACTTCATAGTATAGTGCTCACAGACCTTCTTTGAGACGCTGCTTCAGAACCCCTCCGTGGCCCCAAATGTCAAGTCTGTTCCCCACAGAGCTCCCTCTACTCCAAGACAGCCTCCTAATGGGTCTCCAGGTAAACCTGGGCAATCTCCCAGATTCCCTGGGATTCTAGAATCCAGCCTGACATCTCCATAGAACTCAAGATGGGCTCATGTGCACTGCCCCCTGCCTCCCAGCTTCCCAAGCTGCTTTCCATCCCTAATTGTCTGGAATCCCTTGGGCTCCTCTTCCCAGGGAAACCAGGTCCTCCAAGATCCCACACAGATTCAGCAGGCCTGGAGGGTCTCTTCATATCCAGATCTTACCCCAGCTTCCCCCTTTTCAGACCCATCCACTGGGGGAAAGGAGCCCTCCAGCGCTCCAAGGGAGGGGCCTTGGGGGGCTAACAGCAGGCGGGGATGGGGGTCTGCAAGGGGAAGCAGGGTCGAGGAAGGAAGGCCAGTTCCCCAGGGTTGAGAGGTAACAGGAGAGAGGGCAGGAGATGAGGAGTTTGGCGCAAAGAGAGGATGAGGCTGGAGGCGGGCAAGGTAGAGAGAGGCCGGGCTGAGGATGAATGGACTGGGAGCTGCCCAGGTCTGGGGGTGAGGAGGAGCCGCATGAACCCACCTCACACGTGTCCCAGGAGCCATCTCTCCCTTCTCGCCAGCTCTAGGCGGGTCGGCGGCCATCGGCGGCGAGGGGCCGGGCGGCGCGGGGCGCAGAACGCTCATAACGCCAGGGTCCACGGCCCCCCGAGGGCGCTCGGCCCCTCCCACCGGCGGAGGGCGGGGCGCCGGGGGCGAAGCCCTCCCACGGGCTGCGGCGCGGCCCTTCCAGAGGGAGGTCCTGCTCTGGGGGGCTCAGTCCCTAAGTCCCCCCAGGCCAACGGGGGCTCTTCGGGCGCAGGGTGCACAGCTTCTGCCCGGGTCCCACTCAGTCAGGGGGTTCGAGTCCCAGCTCCCCTCCCCCCACCCAGCCCCGCCTCTCCCCAGCGCCCCCGGCCCTTTAACTGACCCCTTCCCGACGCCCACTGGCCAGGGGTCCAGGGCAAGAACTGCGACCCCCACCGTTCCGGGGTTCAAGCCCCGCCCACCGCCGGTTCGCGGGGAGGTGGGGTGGGGTTCCTATAACCTGCCCCCCTCCCCTGGGCCCACCCCTGGCCTGCAGTCCCTGGCGCTACTGCTACGGGACGAGCAGAGGAGGGTGAAGGAAGCTGCTGGGCCCGCCCCCCCAGCCTGCGCGCGCCCCCGCCCTCTGCCCCTCTACCCAGCGCTTGATCCTCGGGAGATAGAGATTTAATTAAAATTTGAATAAATCCCTTTCCTCAAGCTGGAGGGTGGAAGGAAAGTATGTAAGGGAACAGGAAAGGGGTGAGGGGGCAATCGGCGTGCCTCAGCCCCGCTGGTCTCCTGGCCCAGCGCAGCTCCGGTTCGGGGCCCTGGCAGCGTCTCTCACGCCTCGTGAGCTCCATCCTTCTTTCTCCTCTCTTGCTCCTCACCTCCTCTCTCCCCTCCTTCCCTCTCCTCCCCCCTCCCCTCCCTCCTCCTCTTCCTCCTCTTTACTCCCTCCTCCAAGAGGAACCCAGCCCCCTGCCGCCACGTTCCCCCACCACCTGCCACTTTTCAGGACTAACATTCTCAGGGCACGACGGAAGTAGTAGTCCCGAGTACGGTGGTGCTACCTTGGGATCAAAGGGATGCTGGGGTCAGTGGGAACTACAAACTAGATGACGGAGGACGTGCCAAACCGGGAGTGGTGGATGCCGGGAGTTACAGGCCGGTTGCCGCAAGGCTCCGGGTTGCACAGCGTAGAGGTGGGCGAACGATGACTACAAACAAGATGGCGGAAGAGGGGCGTACACCTGACTAGTAGTCCATCGTACGAGGTGCGATGGGAATAGTAGTTTTTAGCCTTCTACAGTTCCTTAAGAATGGCAGGGCCAAGAGGATAAGGAGACTACCATAAAAATGGCAGGCAACCTAGCTTCTCACGGTCGCCTCACTACTACCTTGGCACCTCGCTCGGCTGTATTATCGAAATTCCCCTCCTCTTGGCGCAAAGCTTGACGGGAGTTGCAGTCTTCCCGGCTCCCTTCTATTATCTTCGACCAGACAATGGAAGGGAAAGGGGGCGGGGTCTACCCCCAAAGATGGCCGCTGGAGGACTGTG